AGATATGAATGTTTTTTTGGGCTCAAATGAAAGAGCGGGTCGAGAAATGACGTGCCAGAGCCTCTAAACGTGACGAATGTCTCTAAAAATGATATCTGTTTTCAATTGAAAAGCAGAGTTGTGACATCATTGTCTAGGAGGACAATGGGGTCTAGGAGTATGTATAGAACATTGGGGTCTAGGAGTCTCCCCTGGTTCAAAACCATCTTTAGAGGTCCTAGCACGCCATTTCTCGACCCGCTCTTTCGTTTGAGCCCAAAAAAACATTCATATCTTGTCTGACATCTTTGCTACAAACTCGGGTCTTCAACTCGGGCTTTCAATTGAAGGCCCGAGTTGTAGACCCGAGTTTGTAGCAGCGATGTCAGACAAGATATGAATGTTTTTTTGGGCTCAAATGAAAGAGCGGGTCGAGAAATGACGTGCTAGAGCCTCTAAACATGACAAATGTCTCTAAAGATGATATCTGTTTTCAATTGAAAAGCAGAGTTGTGACATCATTATCTAGAAGGACAATGGGCTCTAGGAATACGTATAGAACATTGGGGTCTAGGAGTCTCCCCTGGTTCAAAACCATCTTTAGAGGTCCTAGCACGCCATTTCTCGACCCGCTCTTTCGTTTGAGCCCAAAAAAACATTCATTTCTTGTCTGACTTCTTTGCTACAAACTCGGGTCTTCAACTCGGGCTTTCAATTGAAGGCCCGAGTTGTAGACCCGAGTTTGTAGCAGCGATGTCAGACAAGATATGAATGTTTTTTTGGGCTCAAATGAAAGAGCGGGTCGAGAAATGACGTGCTAGAGCCTCTAAACATGACAAATGTCTCTAAAGATGATATCTGTTTTCAATTGAAAAGCAGAGTTGTGACATCATTGTCTAGGAGGACAATGGGGTCTAGGAGTATGTATAGAACATTGGGGTCTAGGAGTCTCCCCTGGTTCAAAACCATCTTTAGAGGTCCTAGCATGCCTTTTCTCGACCCGTTCTTTCATTTGAGCCCAAAAAACCTTCATATCTTGTCGGATATCTTTGTTACAAACTCGGGTCTTCTACTCGGGCTTTCAATTGAAGGCCCGAGTTGTAGACCCGAGTTTTTAGGAGCGATGTCAGACAAGATATGAATGTTTTTTTGGGCTCGAATGAAAGAGCGGTTCGAGAAATGACGTGCTAGAGTCTCTAAACGTGACAAATGTCTCTAAAGATGATATATGTTTTCAATTGAAAAGCAGAGTTGTGGCATCATTGTCTAGGAGGACAATGGGGTCTAGGAGTATGTATAGAACATTGGGGTCTAGGAGTCTCCCCTGGTTCAAAACCATCTTTAGAGGTCCTAGCACGCCATTTCTCGACCCGCTCTTTCATTTGAGCCCAAAAAAACATTCATATCTTGTCTGACATCTTTGCTACAAACTCGGGTCTTCAACTCGGGTTTTCAATTGAAAGCCCGAGTTGTAGACCCGAGTTTGTAGCAGCGATGTCAGACAAGATATGAATGTTTTTTTGGGCTCAAATGAAAGAGCGGGTCGAGAAATGACGTGCTAGAGCCTCTAAACATGACAAATGTCTCTAAAGATGATATCTGTTTTCAATTGAAAAGCAGAGTTGTGACATCATTGTCTAGGAGGACAATGGGGTCTAGGAGTATGTATAGAACACTGGGGTCTAGGAGTCTCCCCTGGTTCGAAACCATCTTTAGAGATCCTAGCATGCCATTTCTCGATCCGTTCTTTCATTTGAGCCCAAAAAACCTTCATATCTTTTCTGACATCTTTGTTGCAAACTCGGGTCTTCAACTCGGGCTTTTAATTGGAGGGTCGAGTTGTAGACCCGAGTTTGTAGGAGCGATGTCAGACAAGATATGAATGTTTTTTTGGGCTCAAATGAAAGAGCGGGTCGAGAAATGACGTGCTAGAGCCTCTAAACATGACAAATGTCTCTAAAGATGATATCTGTTTTCAATTGAAAAGCAGAGTTGTGACATCATTGTCTAGGAGGACAATGGGGTCTAGGAGTATGTATAGAACACTGGGGTCTAGGAGTCTCCCCTGGTTCGAAACCATCTTTAGAGATCCTAGCATGCCATTTCTCGATCCGTTCTTTCATTTGAGCCCAAAAAACCTTCATATCTTTTCTGACATCTTTGTTGCAAACTCGGGTCTTCAACTCGGGCTTTTAATTGGAGGGTCGAGTTGTAGACCCGAGTTTGTAGGAGCGATGTCAGACAAGATATGAATGTTTTTTTGGTGTCAAATGAAATACCGGGTCGAGAAATGACGTGCTAGAGCCTCTAAACGTGACGAATGTCTCTAAAGATGATATCTGCCTTCAATTGAAAAGCAGAGTTGTGACATCATTGTCTAGGAGGACAATGGGGTCTAGGAGTATGTATAGAACATTGGGGTCTAGGAGTCTCCCCTGGTTCGAAACCATCTTTAGAGATCCTAGCATGCCATTTCTCGATCCGTTCTTTCATTTGAGCCCAAAAAACCTTCATATCTTTTCTGACATCTTTGTTGCAAACTCGGGTCTTCAACTCGGGCTTTTAATTGGAGGGTCGAGTTGTAGACCCGAGTTTGTAGGAGCGATGTCAGACAAGATATGAATGTTTTTTTGGTGTCAAATGAAATACCGGGTCGAGAAATGACGTGCTAGAGCCTCTAAACGTGACGAATGTCTCTAAAGATGATATCTGCCTTCAATTGAAAAGCAGAGTTGTGACATCATTGTCTAGGAGGACAATGGGGGGGGAGTATGTATAGAACATTGGGGTCTAGCAGTCTCCCCTGGTTCAAAACCATCTTTAGAGGTCCTAGCACGCCATTTCTCGACCCGCTCTTTCGTTTTAACCCAAAAAAACGTTCATATCTTGTCTGACATCTTTGCTACAAACTCGGCTCTTCAACTCGGACTTTCAATTGAAGGCCCGAGTTGTAGACCCGAGTTTGTAGCAGCGATGTCAGACAAGATATGAATTTTTTTTAGCTCAATTGAAAGAGCGGGTCGAGAAATGAAGTGCTAGAGTCTCTAAACATGACAAATCTCTCTAAAGATGATATCTGTTTTCTATTGAAAAGCCGAGTTGTGACATCACTGTCTAGGAGGACAATGGGGTCTAGGAAAGACTTCTGCAGACCATTTTCCGCGCCTCTCTTTCATTTGAGCCAAAAAAAACCTTCATATCTTGTCTGACATCTCTGTTACAAACTCTGGTCATCAACTCTGGTTTTTAGTTGAAATTGGAATTGTTAATTTACACAATAATAGGATTTCATTGACGATTTTTTATTAACTCGCAAAAATCTTCAAACAATTTGCTATCGATTGGTGATAAAATTTTCTGAAATAATGAAATAGAGCGTATAACGCCTTTTTTTCAGAGATGATTTTTCAAAAATTTATTCAAAATAAGTACTAACTAGCAAATCTTTTTTATTAGCTCGCAATTTTCTTCAAAACTACTTCAATGAAGAAAAAAATAAAAATTTGGAATATCTTCACAAGAGGGGCTAATTGATCGGATCGCAATCTCTCATTGCTGTGAGAGATTTTCGAAGATCGGCTGGCGCCATCTCTCACACTCCCGTAGAAATTATGCATATGGCAATATGGCGACAGCTGCTCCCCTCAATTTTGCCAAGTACAAGTACGCGATCTATATTGATCTAATCTCCTCGGGAAAATTGATAAGAAATATAATAAAACAGTTCATGTGACGATAATGAGGTCTCGGGAGTGTTTAGTGCTTGTGAAAATTGTTGTGAGTGTTTGTTTATTGCACATTTTTAACCGCCACATTGGCAGGGTGCCACGTTTGGTTGCGGCCGTTGGAGATATTTTTGTTGTGTATTATCTACTGTAAATTAAAAATTAATTATCTATTCTCTCCCCCTTGAGACCTCATTATCGTCACGGTTCAACTCATTATCTATTTTTTGACACATAAATTGAATTTTTTTATAAATTGAGACTCGCGTGATTCGACTTGCCATAAAAAGCATTATTTCCGACTTTTTATAGGGAATTTTCTAAGGACATGTTGGGTAAAAATACTTCCACCCGGGCCTTAAATAAATAATCAATTGACTATGTAATTGAAGTGAAAAATAATCAACCATTCTATATGAAATACAAACAAAATATTTAAGTGAATATAAATCAGTGTCTCAAGTTTCTTAATTATAAAAATTTTCCTATAAAACTAATTCATGAATAATTTAAGAAATTTTGGGAAGAACAACAAGTATTGATATTTTTCCTTCGTTTGAAACCTAATAGCAACATTTTTTTTCAGAAAACAATTACCAAAAAAGTTCTTGAGCAGCTAATAATGGATTCAACACCAATTCTCGTTATGAAGGGGGAATCTTTGAATGATTCCACTGCATCATATACAGTCTTAATTGAACATGGAGAATGCATCTACCTAACGAATGCATTGCCAGGACTTTTAATCGTTTTCCTTGCGTATTTTGTTTTTGGACTCAAATACCCTCATGAATTGGACACAACTTTAGAGTTTTTTCAGAGGTATATTATTCATTTATTTAGTTTTGATAATATTTTAACAAATGGTTTTTAGAAGCTCCATGTGTTTAGGGTATAATATGATTGTCAGAAAAGCTGATTCTTTTTTTTTAGTATATCGAAATATCTTCATACACTTTGCTTTGTTTTCTGCAGGGAAATAGTTTTCTACTTTTGTAGTTGAACAGCAGAGCTTTTATTTGAGCTCTTTTTGACTCCAAGTTTCCGGACATTTTACAGTGACTTTATTATTTAAACTGTACATACCTGAATTTGAATCACGATATTGAACCGTTAGAAAACATTTGAAGAATAAAAAAAAACATTGAAAGTTTAGTTTTAGAGGAAAATTGTTGAAATAATTTAAAAAGTGCAATTTTCGAAAATTACGAGCATTTTCAATAAATAATTTATAAACAATCAGTTGTCTACTGTAAAAATCATTTGTTCGGAAACGTAACAAAATTATTCATATTCAGAATTTTACTAGAAATCGATTTCATCCTTAAAAATGAGATTTCCGAAAGTGTAAACCATTTCAATTATTTATTTATAAACAACGAATGTTGAAACAATTATAATTCAATGCAAAACGCAATTTGATTTACGCTGAATATTCATGATTTTCGTTCGATTTTTTTTAGGTAATTTAATTGAAAAATTTGATGATTGAAAATGGTTACAACTATAGCGTGGTCTGTACCAAACTATAAAATATACTTGGATATTCTTAAGAAAGAGATAAGAAATTAATGTATTCAAATTATCGAATATTAGTATGAACACTTTTCTATTTTATTAGAGTGAAAACATGAGTGAAAACATTCTTGCATGGAAATTTCAATCTGTTGAAAAAACGGATGAATGTGCATGGAATCCGAGAGACCATTCTCAATCGGCAACTAGAGAATTCAACTCATTTTGCATCACGATTATTGAATTCGAATTAAACTATTGAATATATGCACTAAAAATATTTCATTTTTTTTATTCCAGAGTATTCTTGGACATCAACCCACCTGTGGGGAAGAAAATGATTAAAGGGGCCAAAGCACGCGCGACCTCTTTCAATCCGGCAGTGAGAAAATTGAGCATTGCCATCGAGAAATTCCCGATATTTTTTACAAAAACTCACTCCAGAGTATAATCTTTTAAATTTATTTTGATATCATTTCCTTTCACGAGCTATATATTCATGGTGCATTCAAATATTCAAACATAAATGTAATAAAATTGATAAATATATTGATGATATTTTTGGATTCCTTTCATTCATTACTATCATAGATTTTCTCCTCTCAATATTTGTTGTAAATATACAAAACACCTCATGTAAAATTACCAACGTGAGGGAAATTTTACAATATAAAGAGACTGTAAATGCACAGATTCTATATTTAAAAATGCAAAAGTTTTGTAATTTTACTAGTTGTATCTATGTACGCTTCATGAAACTTTTCAAAAACATGAAGTTTGATGGTAGTAAATACACAAATTCATTCATATAAATCCTAAACTATGTAACTTTGCATATAGTACAAACGGTAAACTTACAAATACCTTTGTAATTTATCGAAGCAAGAAAGTGTTAATTTCACGCAAAGCGTAGTAAAATCACCACTGTTTTGTAAATTTACAAGTGGAAACGATAGTAATATGTCCAAGTATTTACAAAAACGTTTGTAATTCTACGAATGAAAGAGCTTGTAGAAATACAAACCTTTTTGTAAAATTACAAATGGCTAGTGAAATTACCGACTGAAATCCTCAGAATGTTACAAACTGTTTGGTATTCTCAAAGAAAAAGATTACTCTTACTTTTACAAATTTAAAGTAATTGTAGCGTGATACTTACATGGAATTCAACCTCAAAGACATTTTTTGTAAAATATCACAGAAAATTTCTAATAGCGCAGAAAACAGTCTTAATGTGATTGAAAAAGTCAGCATTCCCCCCTCTGTAGGTTGTTTTTCTCCTCCTTTTTTTCTTTATTGTTCTTCAACATAGGAGGTGAAAACAAACCGGTGAACGATATTGGTGCGCTGGGGGGGAGGAGGGGGAAATCTCATTGAATTCATGACTTAGGTGATTAAATTGGCTCTTATTCACAACGTCACACCGTCAATGTTTACTTTGTACGTGAAACCCAAACATTGAATGATCATCAAACCTCAGTCGTTTGCAGTATTCGATCAGTGTAAGTTATTTGAGATAGTGTGTTGAAAAGAATTGACTAGTATTACTCGAGTACTCGACGGAAAAATGCCGAAACTTCCAAAGATGATTTTTGTTTCAAAAAATTAGCGAAGAAGCGTTGGGAGACAATTGAAGAATTAAACTATTTGGATGTTGCTGATGATTACTGTGAAGACATTGACTGTGTTCCACCAAATGCTGATTCAGTTCAAGAAAACGTTTCAAGTGATTTTTGTTGTGAAGATAATGGACGTCAACCATCTAGCAGTAATAATAACGCTGAACGGAATGGTACAAGTGGTAATGATGAGACAATCTTACCCGAACGAATAACAAATATTGATGATGTGAATGCGCAGATTGCTTCAGACGAGAGTACTGAATCGGATGAATATTTCATTGTTCAGATATCGTTATTACCATATTTACTCGCGAATCTCAAATGTCCAGAGTGCGACTGTATGTCACTGGATATCCGTATCAGTCAGCGTTATGGATTTGCGAATAAAATCGATGTGATCTATGCATATTGTAAAGAATGTGGACTGATGAAATGCGAGGAACAACCTTTACATCCACAACAATCAAAACAAGTACGAACAATCAAGTCTTTGACATCAATTTGAGAATGACATCAGCGTGTTCCACATTGGTCGCGGGCATTCCGCTATTGAAACATTTTCGATAACTACGAATATCTGCCCGATGTTTGACACATGTTGTCGTACCAGTCGACTAATTGCGAATGCTTCAGTTACTCAAGTGTTGGCAGAAACTTTGGAAAAACCAAGCGATTATGTCAGGAATTTGTATAAAAGCGAGAATGATGGCTTTGTTCCCATTAGTGTTACTTTTGATGGTTCATGGCTTATTCAGGGCTTTAAATCTCAATATGGTTTGGCTTGTGTTATCGACATTGAGACCGAGTACGTTGTGGATGTAGTGATTATGTCAAAATATTGCCATCGGTGTATTTTGGCGAAAATTGAGATAGATGAAACGTCTCCAGGGTTTCATGTCTGATATGAAAGTCATTAGAAGTACTGTTCAAAAAAGCATGAAAGCTCGTCTGGAGCGATGGAGATGGCGGCAACAGCTCAATTGTGGCAACGATCAGAGCAGTAGAAAATGAGACACACTACAGTGTTGTCTGATGGTGACTCCAAAGCATTTAACCATGTCAATCAGTAGATAGGCTGGACGGGTTCTGAATCAAAGCTCCTCGCCGCCACCAGGCGGCGCCACCGTCGCGGAATTTTCTAGACGGATGACGTCATCGATGAGTCACCTCATCAACACGGGGGCGTGGTGGGGGTACTTCCTAAGTCCTGTTGGGACTCGTATGGAATATGATACTAGCGGCGGCGCCACCGTCGCGGAATTCTCTAGACGGATGACGTCATCGATGAGTCACCTCATCAACTCGGGGGCATGGTGGGGGTACTTCCTGAGTTCTGTTGGGACTTGTATGGAATCGCATATTGTCCCCACCGTCGCCGAATTTTCTAGACAGATGACGTCATCGATGACTCACCTTATCAAATCGGGGGCGATGTGGGGGTACTTCCTGAATCTTGTTGGGACTTGTATGAAATATGATGATCCGTTGAAACTTGCATGAAATCGGATATTGGCGCCACCGTCGCGAAATTTTCTAGAGGGATAACGTCATCGATGAGTCACCTCATCAATTCGGGGGCGTGGTGGGGGTACTTCCTGAGTTCTGTTGGGACTTGTATGGAATATGATACTAGCGGCGGCGCCACCGTCATGGAATTTTCTAAACGGATGAGTCATCGACTTGCCTGGTGGGGGAATCCCTCTAAGACCTGTTGGGACTTGTATGAAATATAATGACCTGTTGAAACTTGCATGAAATCGGATATCGGTGCCACAAGCTGTGGAAGGTTCGAGATGGATGACGTAATCGATAAGTTATCGACTCGTATGGTAGGGAAACGTCCTGGTGGGACTTGTATGAAATATAATACTATAAAATCCTGTGGACACATGGATAACATTGGATATTGCCGCCACAATCGCGGAAATTTCGAGATGAATGACGTCATCGATGAGTCATCAACTTGCACGGTGGGAGAGCTCCCCGTAAGTCCTAAACATGTGCAAATATTTAACAACATTTGCAAACATTTGATAACATTGGAGAAGATTTGCAAATGTATGGAAACATATGTAAACATTTGACAATATTTGCAAACATTTTGCAAACATTTGATAACATTTGACAATACTTACAAACATTTTGTAAACATTTGACAAAAATTGCAAACATTTTCAAACATTCTGCAAACATTTGCAAACATTTGCAAACATTCTGCAAACATTTGCAAACATTTACAAACATGTGCAAATATGTGAAAACAATGATTGAATATTTTCGAGATGAATGACATCGATGAGTCACTCAGACTGATAAATCATCAATGTGCGAGGTGGGGGTTTCCCGTAAGTCCTGCTGAGACTTGTACATTCGAGAAGGATGACGTTATCGTGGTGGGGGTTCCCCCTTGGTCCTGCTGGGAATTATATGATACCATAATGACCGGTTGGAATTTGTAAGAAATTGGGTATTGGCGCCAACGTCGCGGAACGTTCGAGAAGGATAACGTCATAGATGACGCATCGATTTGAGCGGTGGGGGAGCCGTCCTGTTGGGACTTGTATGAAATATAATGACCTGTTGAAACATGCATAAAATCGGATATTGGCGCCACCGTCGCGGAACCTTCTGGACGAATGATGTCATCGATGAGTCATCCTCATCAACTCGGGGCGTGGTGGGGGTTCTTCCTGAGTCCTGTTAGGACTTATATGAAATATTATCTTATGATGAATCATGGTGTCATACAAAGGAGATATCATGTTATTTCTCGATTATTCTCGAACATTCTCCAAGGTTCTCAAATATTCCAAGATGAGTCATAACCTCAATTTTGTGGTGGGGGGATCTCTATATAACGCGCTTACCCTATCCATTCCGCATTCAATCTGAGTCCCAATTCTATTGATTGATCCTCGTATCCTACAGTGATATAAAGAGTTACCATAATGTGTTATCATCATCATCTTCATAAGGAGAACCATGGGGAATCTAGTACTGATGAGGAGACGATCCGTGAGTATTTCAACAAGGATTGTCATACATTCGCAGAATACCTGGTGACTGACTTACATTGTTTATGAGACAATTATGAAGTATTGAAAGCCGAGCCACATCCTGAGGGGAAATCTAATTGTTCTAATTGTACAAGTCGACTTGAGGGATTATCTCACATAATCCAGAACATCAATAATTTGGAAAAATTGAAGAAATTCTGCGAAGAGCTAAGGGATAAAATCACCAACGTGGAGGAGGAGGATGACTTGGTGGCAAAGAGTATCAATGAAATTTAATGGTTGAACTCAGTTCCACCATACTGCCTCAATGACAGTGAAGTTGTGAAGAAATTATTGATTCATCCACCACCTGATCTTCCACAATTGGAGAAATTCATCTATCAACTTCGCAAAAACTTCAGAGATCTGTGCTCCAAGTTCAAACGTAACAAGTGTTATCCTTGTGATAAGTTATCTCAAACTCTGGAGATAATCAAAGACATTTCCAAAATTTGCGAGTTTCAATTGAACTCCTGAGTTTTGAGTATGATATATTCTTCGTTTCTAGCGGTCATCTGCCTGCTGATTTGATTTGAATGATGATGGAGCCGATGGGCAAGAGTGCTGCAGAAAAACATCAACAAGAAAAAAAGATGAAACGAATTGATTTCCAATTAGAGCCACAGATCCATTTGATGTTGCATTGGGACTATGCATATCGATCTGCTCGTCGCGGTCCATGGGAAGAGATAGCTCGAGACCGCCATCGTTTTCAACGTTGGATAAATTTGTGTGAAAAAATGTTGAATCCTATATCATTAGCAAAGCATAGACAATCTGTTTTCGAGAAAAGTTTCAGCTCATTTTGAATTGCTAA